GCTAAATCGACTATAAATGTCCTGAAACCGATTTGGTCCAAAAAGTTCTTGGGGCTTAAAGCCCTTATTTCGATGAGGTTCGTTTTGGTTGTATCAAATGTAATATACCCTCTCTAGCCATATGGCTGAGAGTATAAAAATTTTACCCTTTGTTGGGGAGGTACCAAAAGGGATGGTACGATCTCCATCATCTTTATAACAGACCTATTGTCGATAGAATTATTGTGATGTGCCTGATGGAATCGTGGATATTCAAAAATTTGTGGGGGAGGTACCAGAAGAAGTTCTCCGATATATACCATCTTCACACCAAACCGTGGGTTACAAAAAATATTCGGATATGTCCAATTTGAAGACAATCGAACTCTTACATCACATTTTATAAGAGTTATAATTATTCCCACATTGTGGGGGAGGTACTTCATGGTGTTGGCAGATATTATCCATTTACGCACCTGATCGAGCACTGATGCAAATTTAACGATTTGTAAAGTTGGAGGGAAATTAGATGATCCTTTTTCCAAATCCTGAATGTCCTGAAACGGATTTTGTCCAAAATGATCTGGGGTCTATTACGATGAGGGGTTATTTCGATGATGCACGTTTTGGTCGTATCACATAATATATACCCTCTCTAGCCACATGGCTGAGGGTTTAAAAAATAAAAATTGTAAGAAACTCATTATTTGAATCGGTCATAAAAGAATTATTCCAACTCCTGTTAAAAATATCACACCAAGAGGGACTATTATACCAATTTCCAAATTTCTAGGTCTATGCGTTCACCAGATGTCAATATTATCTTCATTTTGGTACTTTTGGCACCTTTATACTACCATTTTTTTAGAATTGTTCCCGCACACAAAAATATATAACTGAAGCAATATTTCGTAATTTTGGTACCCTTCTTATTTGAATTTCCAAAAATATTCCGCCCTATCGAATCATTGTGACCACTGTGCCAGCCATGGCTTACGCTGCTGCTGCTCCGTAATCTCTCGTCCATTTCTTTGGTGATAAAATTCCAATTTTTATGGATCATTTCTTTGGGAGAATTTTAATTTTAGTTTTGGCGCTAAAAATGGCGCCTAAAAGATTATCCAAAAAAACAAAACCTTAATGGACGGATGGATCATTCCGGAATTCAGGGCAGAGATAAATGTTACAGATTCGAGACATGATTTTACAATTTTTATCAATATCAACAGTTATTTTATTAAACATCAAAGGGCAGGTGATATTGAAAGGGAATGGAAGGGGACAATCGCAATAAAAACGAGGCGCAGGGAATGTCAATGGCATCATTTCAATAATTTTTTAGGGAATAGAATCTAAAAAGAAATGTGAACTTTACTCAAGAATCTGAAATAAATGTAAGCTATAGGTGATAAGCGTCATACCTGTTAAAATGTTCCCCCTATGATCATTATCAAACATTATGATGGTCCAAAATGATATCTTATGAAAACCCCACACAGCACAAACACAAAAAACCTTTGGAATATACATACATACAAACAAATGTAAATATCTATGTATTAACATTTGTGTGTATGTATATTCCAAACACCTTTTGTGTTTGTGTCAATAATGAACAGCATCATTACCACGATAATTTGTTTTTATTTCAAACCAAATTGCATGTTTAAAACATGTCTGTCCACTCTTCCCTGCCTTTGGTCCTCTGATCATTCGTCCGTCCATCCACCATTCCTTTTCCTGCCATTTTTCCCATCTTTTTTGTTTTTGAGTTAATGGAATGAACGAGGAACAATTTCATAGTTGATTTTTTGTTGGTTGGTTCAATATTTATTCTTGGGGTACCCTCTTCTTGACCACCGTCCTTTCGCGCTTGGCCATATTCTGTGGTCTGCTTTTTTGTTAGGTTCTTTTGCTTTTGGAGGGGGGTTAGAAGAACACGAAGAAAACATGAAATTCCTTAGTAATTTGTATGGAAAGGCGTGAAGAACACCAACGAAGGCAACACCTTAATTAATGTTATAAAAATGGAAAGGAATGGATGGCGATGACGACGAAGAGATTATGCTGCGGTGTAGGTCCACTAAAAAACAACAGCGAACGAACGAACGAACGAACTGAAGAACAATGAATGAAGTTGCTGTTGCACCAGCCCCTTATAATACTACAACAGAATAGGATGAAAAGGTAATAAAACAACAACAAATATGGCGAGAATTGGAATTATCTTTATTATTATTATTAGCTGCCTGTAAGCCTGTAACTGGGAAAAGGAGATGTTTTTAAAATCAATGTCTTATTCATTTTTAATATTTATTTTTTAAATGGCCTATTTAGAAGGGCAAATATTTAGATTGCATTACAATAACAAATTTACACTTGTGGCGAGTGTTATTTTCTGTTTGAGTTAAAGATTCAATTTTTTGTGAAGCTGTAGAACCTGACAAAGTCGTAAGAAAAAACAAATAAGTTAGAAAGTAATAAGTCGGTTGTCGAAAAATGATGTGGATTTTTTTAAACCAATTTACGATTTTTGCACATAGCTCATAGTTTTTGAGATATTGCTACAAAAAAAGTTGGACTTTTGTGCAAAATCCACATTATTTTAGCCAAGTAGTTATAGAAGAAATATCAGAGTCTCGTTTTATAGCCACTAAAACGTCCTTATAAAATCTATAATATGTTGGCATAACGTTTATGAAATAATATTTCTAACAAATCCATGATTGGTCGAAATGTCTAGAGAACTTCTTCGAAATATTTTACTATTTTCAAATATTTTTATAAATTCCACAATTTTGGCCAGCAAGCTCTCATAACATATCTTATAAAATCCAAGGTCTTTGATCACCCATTTCTAAAATATTGTAAAAATATTATAAAAACTACTATTCTCACCTAGGAAGTTACTATGAAATATTTTTATAGGAAGTCCTTATAAAATATTTTTCAGGAATCCATAATTCAGTGCCCACATTTTTTTAAGAAATATTTTTTTAAATACCCACAATTTTTTGCCAGGAAGAGCAAAATTTATGTTAAATATTGTTTTTAAAAATTTGACCTCTTGTGGTTAACAAAATCCACTATAATTTGATCTGGAGGCTTTTGAGAAACCACCTAATCTTGATTTATTTTCACATAGTTCTCTTAAATGTTAATATAAAATCCATAATTTTTAAATACGAAGCTTATGAAAATTTATTCCTAAAAATCTGTTATTTTTGATCAGAAAATTCCACTGTTCTTGAATATGATAGTTTTTGCTAATGAGGTCCTTGAAAAAAAAATCTGGTGGGACTTTCGCATTTTTTCATATAATTAATTGGGCTAATAAATGTTACATAATTCACATCATATCTCTGGTTGAGAGAAATATTTTATAAATCATATTCACACCAGACCTTGTGTTAGAAAAAATAATGGAATATGTTGATTTTAGAAAGAATCGGATTTCTCATTTAACCTTTTGATTATTCAAAATTGTGACGACTTGTAAGGACAATACCAGGAAGAGAGGGCGGATATGTGCCATCTTCACATATTTTACATTTTACAAGAGTTATAATTATTCAAAATTTGACCCTTTTTGGGGACCGGCACTTGATGGACATCTGACCTAGGAATGGGATTTGAAAAGTTTGCATAAAATTTGATGATCATTTCTTGATGTATGTGGTAAATTATTTTCTACGAAAGTTTTAGCCTATTGTGGTGGAAGTACCAAAAGGAGTGGACCGATATTGTCCACCTCAGAACTCGATATAACTTTGATTATAATATTACAACGAACCAAGTTGAAGAGTGATATTTCGGAAAGTATATGCCTAAAAATCCATGCTTTTCAATTCGGAGAGATCTCTGAAAAAATGTTTAGGTGGTAACTTTTCTTTGCCAGTACATTTTTCGAGAAATATTTAAAAACATATCAACGATATTTAAAACAACCACATATTATTAAAATTTTCTTGATCCTCGCAGTAAATAAAATTAGGGGATATCTTTAAATCCGGATTTAACCAAACGTGGATCAATATTGTTCTTTTCCTAGTAGAGATTCTTAAAAAAAACCTAAAAATATCTAAAAAGGGGGTTGAAAAGTGGACCGGCGTAACCGATTTTTTGAACCAATGGATCTTGAAGTTAACATAAGGTCTCTATAAATTCTCAAGCTCCTACTAAATATTGCTCCAAAAAATGTGGGAGATACCATAAAATTTTAGAGTACGTTTAGATTTGTTCGAATTGGTCACCTTTGCCACGAATTATGGCTTTCAAACGGCCAATGAAACAGGTACTTGCTGCCCGAATGTTGCTTTGTAGTATTTTGGCCCATTCCGGGCGAAGCGCTAGTACCTTTTGTACACAATATACCACACACTTCCGAATTCAACACCTTATCACAAAGCTTAACACTAACAGTTATACTTACACCGAATATCATAATTTCTGCACTTTACTCTAAGTTGATTACTATTTAGTACCATTGGTACACTCAGATAAAAATACGTCACCCCTGCCTAGTACCCGATGCACGCCATTGACGTTTTTCGCTAATGAATTTGAAAATGTGTATTTTTATTTATGCTGCCGAAATATGACGAACTTGAAAATTTTCAAAGTTGAACCATTTCAGAACTTTGTTTGTTTTCTTTAATTGATTTTTATAATTGATTTATATAAAAATGTATATGTACCCAATAGTTACATTTACATTTTGAATTTTTTTTAATATTTCTGTTGTTGTTGCGGCTTCTGCTGCAGTGTTCGTTCTGAGTTTTTTAACTTTTCATTTTTTTCTCTTTTTAGGTAACCCCTTTACCTTCTAATCTATGTAAGTACTTACCCTCTCAAATTTCTCCATTAAAAATAAGACTGCACTTTATTTTACTTCTTAAGAGTTTATAATTATTATTTAGTTTTTTATTAGTATTTTTTTTATTAAGTATTTATAAAATTATTTACATAGATTTGACAAAGTACAACTAAACACATATAGAGTATGCATCTAAATCGAATACTATTTACTAATACTTAAAATACTTATTAAGTTCAAAAACTAGATTAGAATCAAAATTGTGTTTGTGCATTTCTATAATTATTATCACGTTAATACATTTACAAATTGTTGTTGCTGAGGGTGCTAAAATTGTTGTCGGAGGATAAATTATAAATTCGACGTTGATGGATAACACTGTGAGACAAGTTTTAGGTTACGTTCTGGTGGTTTCTGTAAGAGGGTTTTCTAACTCCTCCCCCGGTCCCCCACCCCCAAAGTAATCTAAATACAAATTTTTAGTTAAATCGGTATCAGGAAGTACCTTTATATGGACGCTACTCTGAAAGGTTGTTCTACATTGAACATTTTTTTACGAACAGGTTTCCTACCCTAAGAAACAATGATGCCTAATAAGGGCACAATCAATTGAAAAATGTGGCCAAAACTCCGGAAATAATTGAATTCAAGGGATATCTTCAAATGAGGGTTATACCAAAGCTTGAGCATATATTGATAATATTTTGCAAGGATGCTTTCTTCTTACTAAGGACTCAAGTTAAAAAATTAGCCAAAATTAGTACCATTTGAAAAAAAACCTGATTTTTTTTTAAATAGTCCGTCAAAAATTACCGCCTAAATGAAAACGAGGTATATAAAGATGTGGGCCTACATAATTTTCTGTCATAGCCTGTTGTACCGACTTTGAACTTCAAATTCAATATTTGAAATAATTCTGGTGAAAAATGTCGCTAATATCGCCAAAATACCGTTAGATGGGCTATACGAAAACGTGGACCTGCATAGACAATTTTTTGTCATGGGTTGTAGTACCCTTTACGAACGAACTTCAAATACGATATTTCAAACAATTCCGGTGAATAAAATCATCAAAATACCGAATATGAAGTGATACCGTTATATTTCTAAGTCACTTGGCCGATATATGTTAAAATTATTCCAGTATTTTGGTCAGAATTTTCCAATGTGAATAAATCTTTTGTGTCTCGTACCATCGCTCATTGCCGTGATACTGGTAGCGCTGCCCGACGTTAAGGAAGTGGACGGAACCTGTCGAAATATTCTATTCGGCAAATACTGAAAACTGAGCTAGGGGTAAAGCCATTGAAATTCCAAAAAGTGCACGAACTTACACCGAAGCAGAAAGAAAATAGACTCAAAAGAGCTAAAGAGTTACTTGGCTTGGCCGAAAGTGGTGAACTGCCGAATTTGGTTTTCTTCGTCTCCGATGAGAAAACATTCGTTGTCCAGCAGTTTGTAAACAAACAAAATGATCGTGTTTACTTGCCAAAGAGGTAAGCTGAAAATGTTTACCTTCGGTTGGCCACCAGAACTCAAGCGCCGGCCATGGTGATGGTGTGGGCCGCCATAACAGCCGATGGTCGCTCTCCGCTCGTATTAATCGAATAAATGCCGAAAAAATATTCTGAAGGGTGTATAAAGGTTCCTCGCTCATTTCCAGCGCACAATGGCCACCAAAATCTCCGGATACCAATCCGTTGGAATATTGGGTCTGGAGTATTTTGGAATACCATGTGACGGGTTCATTGGCCGTTCGTGCCAAAGGTGACAAATTCGAACAAATCTAAACTTTTTCTAAAAGTTGATGCTATTTCCGACATTTTTTCTTTCATTCAATAAAATTTTTAACAAAAAAATGTAAAAATTATGGCGTTTGACTTTTTTGCATTTTTTTTATCTCACCCTGATTAATGGACCCTAAATAACTTGGTCTGGGAACATAAAATCCTTTTGGAATTTTTGATCTACAAACCGAATACTATCACTTCCATTTGGAATTCACCTCCCACTCCCCCCGATTGGCTGTTTCTCATGGCAACCCAATAGGAGTTTAAGAATAAAATAAATCTAGCAATTGGGTTAGTTTCCTAGGTTTTTGAAAATTAAAAAAAAATGAAATAGATAGATTCATTTTGAAACTTCCCCTGTATTATGTGGCTCTTCCAGCGATTGTGTTTGGAACAACCTTATATTTGGGCTTCAGGAAGCCAATTCCAATTGCATGCGTTGAATTTTTTGTTCTGTTATCTTCCAAATTTTTATTATTTTGTCTCGACGGGACATAAGTTATCCGATTTTTATTTCTTTAGAAAATCTTGAGAATATAGAGGACAGCCATTAATTAATTAATAGTATATTCGACACATCGGTATTACCATAAATGATAAATGGCCTTAATATGGAGCAATTCAGAAACCAATCTCTGGATATGCTACCCTTTAAATTTTATGAATTTTATGAAGTTTTTACGAATCTAAATTCTAAAACTGCAATTTGTTCTTAAGCTAAAAATTAAAAATTACATTTATTATTAATAAATTAAGTTCAAAATTGTAATTACAATTATCACACGCAATGGAAAGCTTTGCGTTTCTTCTTCTCTACAAAAACTAATGTGTATTTGTGGGTGTATTGTGGGTGTAGGCGTATTAAATTACTGTGTTAAGTTTATTAAGTCATGGATGGACAAGTTTTGAGAGCATATGAGAGCGAATGTTAAAAGTGGTATCCTCTAATCCTATAGACACGTATTAATATCCCTTGTTTCCAGGCACTTTTCACACGTGACCTCACAACACCACTTGAAAACACATTTACAATTAACCCATTCGGAGACGACATGATGCCGATGGCCTCGATTGCAACACAACAGATCACAGCTATCAGGTCCCAGTGAAGTGGCATTACATTCACGATTTTGTGTACCCAGCGATCCAGTGCGTACATTGGGTGCACAGAAATCTGACGAATCGTCGGAATAGACCAGATCATATTTGGAAGGAGGTTTCACGTGCTCACTTTCGGGCATAAAGCTATTGCCGTCGTTGCGTAGCACTACCTTGTAGGCACCATCGAATTTTTCACGTAGACGATTGCCTACCTCACGGAATGAGGGCATTTTAAGCCAACATGTTTTCACCGTGCAGGAGCCGGATAGGCCGTGACATTTGCACTCCAGTCGCACGGAATCGCGTATGGCCTAAAATATTCAAAAATACAAAAAAAAAAAAACAATAAATAAATAAATAAAAAACTAATAATAAAATATATGTTAAAATAAAATACAAAAACAAAATAAAAGGTTCAAAATATTGGTGCAACATAGTCAGGCTTAATCCCGTTATTATGGTTTTTATAAAAACAACGATTATTTATTGGTGGAGAAAGATGGTAATGTTTACCAGAGGGTAAGACTAGGTTTCGGAAAAAGCCACCAATCCTCATTTTTCATTATACCCTCCACCATGGGTAGGAGGGTATATTAACTTTGTCATTCCGTTTGTAACACCTCTAAATATTCGTCGTAGACCCCATTAAGTATATATATTCATAATCAGCATAAAATTCTAAGACGATTTAGCGATGTCCGTCTGTCTGTCCGTCTGTCTGTCTGTCTGTCCGTCTGTCTGTCTGTCTGTCTGTTGAAATCACGATAGAGCCCACATTATTTGACGTAGACCTTTGAAATTTGGCACAAGTGTGTGTATTGTCCCTAGGATGGTTGGTATTGAAAATGAGATATATCGGTCCACGTTCTGGTATAGTCCCCGTATAACGGTACCTCCCGATATTCGGTATTTTGATGATTTATGCCACATTTTTTCACGGATTTATCTGAAAATTGGTATTTGTAGGTCATGACGGGTCCCTGAGCGTGTGGCAAAACATTGCATGTATAGGTCCACGTTTTGGTATAGCCCCCATATAACGGTACCTACCGATATTCGGTATTTTGATGATTTATGCCACATTTTTTCACGGATTTGTCTGAAAATTGGTATTTGTAGGTCATGACGGGTCCCTGAGCGTGTGGCAAAACATTGCATGTATAGGTCCACGTTTTGGTATAGCCCCCATATAACGGTACCTACCGATATTCGGTATTTTGATGATTTATGCCACATTTTTTCACGGATTTGTCTGAAAATTGGTATTTGTAGGTCACAACGGGTCCCTGAGCGTGTAGCAAAACATTGCATGTATAGGTCCACGTTCTGGTATAGTCCCCATATAACGGTACCTCCCGATATTCGGTATTTTGATGATTTATGCCACATTTTTTCACTGATTTGTGTAAAAGTTGGTATCTGTGGGTCATAATGGGTCCTAGCTCGTGTGGCGAAACATTGTAATTATAGGTGCACGTGTTGGTGTAGCCCCTATATAACGGTACCTCCCGATATTCGCATTTTAATGTTTTTTGCCACATTTTTTCTAATGTTCTTTTACCCTAGGGTGGAGGGTATTAAAAGTTTGGCCCGGCCGAACTTAATGTTTTTTTACTTGTTTTTATTTTTTTTTTGTTTTTATAAAAACAACAATAAAGGGATTAAGCCTGACTATTTTGCAACAACAAAATACTATGGTATCCAGGACAAACATGCCAAAACTGTTCTATTTAAAAAATATTTTTTTTCACATTTTTCCGAAAATTCCTACTCACCAATCGTCCTGCCATATTATTGTGCAGCTTGACCAGAGTACGAAAGTCACTTCTCCGCCGATATTTTGAATCCAAAAACACCCTTGAATGCCGGAAACCGAAATTCACATTATCACTGCATCCACCCCATTCCCATTCACCTTCGGGAAATTTGATGTTTTTCAAAAGTCTTCTCCGCCGATTTCCGTTGCCTTTTCTCAGCGGATTCTTAGTGGAATTTCTCTCAAAGACTGACTGTTGTTTTTCCAAGGCGGCCACTGCTGTCACAGCATTGACCATTTGTGGCTGACCACCATTTCGCCTTGAATGGCTCTTATCACACGAACATTCCACCAGGTTACCCAAGGTGCATGCTTTTGTCACGGCATATGTGACACCGGCCGCTGTTATTGCATTAACGAATCCTGTTTCGCGAGTATCTGGAATAAAAGAGAGATAGAAAGAGAGTTATTTATCAAGAGAAGAAGCTCAAACGAGGGAAATTTATGGGAATTTTCATAAGTTATAGCCCACTATGCATATAACAATATCCTAATAGTCATCGAGACTGAGTTTGACATTCGTATTTTTGGGATAATGCTTTGAAATTTACGCATTTCTCTGTACAATATTAATTCAAATCCGTTGATCCACAAAGAAGGTTAACATTTTGCACATTTTGTACATGCTGGCATAAATAGGGCCCATTTAAGGTCCTTATCAAGAATTAATATTTTTAGCTTTTAAGTCATATTTTTCCAAACCATTAACTTCCAAACTTATTAACATGTCTTGCCATTCCAATAAAGCCGGAACAATTTAATGTTTGGTTTTACAAAAGATTTTGAATTATTACTATTTTAATTAGATTTTCGGGATTTTAAGTAATTTGTCTAATCTCTGTATTTTTCCAAGGATGATCCATTATTGTGTTTAGTCCCATATAACTATACATCTCGTACATAACAATTTCGTCTATAATTTGGGTTTTCAATATGCAGAGGGTAGAATTTTTCGTTTTAGGTCCGTGAATTTTACAGTGAAAGGCTTAACGCTTAAAAAATCAGCTAAGTTCGGCCGGGCAGAATTCTGTTTTCTGTTTTTTTTTTTTGAAAAAAAAAAAAATCCTTCAAAAAATAGCGTTTTTTGTCATAGACAGTAGTAACCATTACGAACGTTAAATTTGAAATTTGAATCCATTCCAGTAAAAACGTCTTTAATATCATCAAACTGGTAACAATTCCGACGAGTAAAGCCACTAATTAAAATAGCGAATATCGGGTATATCGTTGTTTGGGGTCTATTCGATATCGTGAACCTGTATTGGCAATTCCCTTTTAGGGGGTAAAGTACTCAGAAGGAACTCCTTTCGCCTTTCAATTCCATTGAAAAATTTGCCTAAAAACATCAAAATACTGAATATAGGGGTTACCGTTATATAGGAGCTATACGATATCGTGAACTTATCTGCAGACAAAAGACTGATGTGTGGAAAATTTTAGCTTCCTATCTTAATTCGTTTTGACTCTAGCGGTTATCTCTTTAAAAAGATCTTGAGAAAGAAATATTTTCATTTCAAGATGATATGCTCGATCGATTCACAGCGTTTCCATCTAACAGCTAAAAATAACATTATAATGACTTTCGTAATAAAACTTAAATTTTTTTTTACCGATGTTATATAGAAAAAGAAGATTGTGCTATACATTTTTGATGCCTCTGGGGCCTTTAGGCGGCCAGCGACAAGGTGAGAGACATCTCTCGCTTTTGAGCGGAAAAATAATATGTATTTCTTGACTTATAATTAGGGTACATGAAATCCCTTCTGGATAAAGTGGTAATAGTTTTTGCAGGACCATTAAGACTTATGTGAAAGACCACCTAAGTGATGCCTTTTATCAATAGATGGATGTTGGGAGGTCTTCCAGTATGGCGGCCGAAAGGTCTGCTAACTAAAGATAACCTTTCGGGGATATTAAGTCCATAACATATCCAAGGAGATATTTTATTATTACTATTTTAGCTGACATTTTAGAGGTCTTACTGTAGACGATACTAAAATTAGAATATTTCTGAAGGCATAAAAAAGGAAAAAAATATTTCTCACATTAAAAAACTTTTCTTGATCTTTAGTCTTCAAAATATCATCCACTATATCAAATTTTGATTCCGTTCGTAACTTCTATATCATACGATATTTTGAGCACACTGAGAAAGCACATTTTCAGCACAAGCGTTTTTTGAGAGTAGGTAGGGGTAGTCCGTGAATAAGTCATGTCGGTTCACGTTTTGGAGTAACCTCCAAACCTCCTCTCTTTATTTGGTATTCTAACGAAATTGTTATTTGGTATTTAGAGTTGTAATGGGATCTACCCCCTGTGAAAACAGATTGTTCCCCTACCTCTGGATATTTGGTGTTTTGGCAATTTCTGCCTTATTTTTTAAGGGATTTCTACAAAATTCGGTATTAGTAGTTCGTAATAGGTTCCACTATACGACGATATCTTCCAATATTTATGATTTTATGCTCATTTTTCGACGGGATTATTTCAAATTTGGTATTTGACACCAAACTCTGTGCAAAAAATTGTCTATGTAGGTTCACGTTTTGGTATGAGGTATAAGGTGTTTTTAAAACTTCAAACAAAAAGATTTAGAGACCTTTATTTGGTTTTCCATTTAAATGAGACCTTTCATCTGTTTGTGTGTCTACCGAAAACCATTAGAGGATTTTCTATCTATGAAAGACATTTACTAATTTGTATACCCTCCACCATACTATCGAGGTTATATTAAATTCGTCATTCTGTTTGTAACTCCTCGAAATACTCATGTCAGGCCCAACAACGTATATGTATTCTTGATCAGCGTAAAATTCTATGGCGATGTCCTCTGTCTGTTGTAATCACGCTTATCTTTCGTATTGACTGAAATTATTTCAAATTTCGTATTTAAAGTTCGTAATAGATATTATAACCTATGACAGAAAATTGTGTATGCAGGTCCACGTATTCGTATACCCCACAAACGGTACCTTCCTTTTTGGTATTTTGATGATATTAGTGACATTATTCAACGGAATTGTTATAAATTTAAAATTTGATGATCCTAATGGATACAACAGTCTGTGGCATAAACTGCGTAGGCAGGTCCTCGTTTTCGCATAGCCACCATATAACGGTTTTCATATAAAAGATATTTTTCGACCAAATTTTGAAAATATTTCTTAATTTGGTTGCTTTTTTATTTGCTTTGTTTATTATTGATAAGGCATGTTGCTATATTGAAGTCTTAGGCATTTTCTGTCTTAAAATCGGGTTGAGAGGTTGCGTTGTCTTAACAAAAGTAAATCATTTTCAATCGAAAGAAGACCATTTATATGCCTCCTATCGTCTTCAGTCGAATTCCCAGGCTACAACCTCAACCAGGATAATTGGTGTATAACATTCGAAGTGGCCTGTAGATGATTGAAATATATATACTTTTACCATTGCAAAATTTTGATGAAAATTATTTCGAAACTTATTTTATACCATTGTATATTCCACCAAATCAAAGGATCTGATCCGCCCATCAGTCTACTGTAAATTGGTAAAATTTTATGAAACAATCGCTACGATATTTTGCATGGAATTGGATTGATGATGATCACAAAATATTAAGAAGATGCAATGGACCAAAATATAATATTGACCATATGTGTCTGATATACAATTCAATTGAAGCAAGAGGTTTTAGAGTTTATGGCAGTGATCTGTTAATAATTATGGGTTGGAGTGATGATTTCCAAAAATTATTTTTTTTATTAATTCGTCTAAACAGTTTAGTCTATATTGATTTCATCATGATTCACAGATCTATTTTTATATCTCACATTCAAATCCCCAATACTTTCCTTGGTTGATAATTCATCAAGGTAATCCATCAATCATTGGAACGATTTCTATGATTCCTTGCAATAAAATTCAAGACACAATGGACCACCTGTCATTGTCGTTTAGCATTTGCCATGTTATGTGTTAACATTATTATTGTTGTTGTTGTTTTGTTTTACAAGTGTGGGGGCTTATTTGTGTTAATCAACACTACTAAGTGACAGTTGTTTGACATTTGTCACGTTCTCACTCTCATTTGCATATTGGCTGGCTGAACGTTGTGTTTCAGGCAAAAAGTCACTCATTCACTTAAATGGCAATAGTTTCTAAGACAACAATAACAACAACAGCAACAACAACAACAATAAGAAAAATCATGCCAACACTAATAACCATGTTAACAACAATGTTTGATTTGTTCGAAACCCTCAACCAATGTTGGTGGGTGGGAATGTTTTGGGAAGTGGGGAAGTTTAAGGAAGCAAAGAAGGCTAACATATCGCAAAGCTAGCATTGAATGCTTAAAAGCAAACAAAACAGATAATCGTGAGAATTTGTAATTATGTATTGTGTGTTACCAATAACAACAACAACGACGACGGCAATTGCAACAGTCAACGACGAGTGAGACAAGTCATCGATCTTGATAACTGTCATTCACTTTTACCCGTAGATGACACATTGACTTAAATACTGACACATTTGACAATTTGCTATTGTTTTGTTTGTTTGTGGATGACGTCGTTACTGTTATTGGTAGTTGTGTTTGTTTCTAGCAAACATCCCCACAAATACTAATATAAATGAGGTACACGTAGTTGATGACAACCTAGTCAACAATCACAAAAATCTTTGGAAAATTTTTAAAAAAGTAAAAAAAAATCGATTAAAATTTTTCGATAGTAGCTCCACCATTATAGTCCTAGACACCTTGATTTTTTTGTTAAACTTAACGATTACTGCTCCGATCGCCCTTGACATATTTTCTAAGGCCACGGTCGTAGCTCTAATAGACCTTGAAAAAAGGTTCTTTAAAAATTAACCGTCATAGCTTCGGCAGCTTTTGATAATCCAACATTATAACTCTGATAGAGCTTTCAAAATATTCTTCAAATATCCATAACTGCAGTATTGATAGTAATCGGAAAAATGTTCTTCAAAAATTCAGGATTATACCACTGAGGTTCCTTTAAAAAAAAAACTTTTTCAAAAATACGCAATTATAGCTCGAAAAGTCCTTGCAAATATATTCTTTAAATCTTCATGGCTCAGACAGTCCTTAAGATTATAGCTCTGATAGTCCCGGTAAATCTATTCTGGTAGACAATAGCCCTGATGGTTTTTGGAAAAATATTAGAAAATCCAATGAGGGTCTTTGTAAAAATATTCTGGTAGTCCTTCAAAAAATATTCTTTAAAAATCCACGCTAATAGCTTTGATCGTTCTTGAAAAACTATTCTTTTTAAATCCACGTTTATACCTCTGATGGTCCTTGAAAAAATATTCTTTAAAAATCCACGGTTATAGTCCTGTTGGTCCTTGAAAAAATATTCTTTAAAATTCGC